ATAGTCCGATGTTGCCAAGGGCAAGCCTGCCGCCCACAAACAGGCGAGATGGCCGCTGCTCGAACGCCAACGACAGACCGAGTTCATAAGATTATTCACATGCGCGACGGTCGCACTGTGACTTCACATTCTCAAACGGGATCTTGAATCATACATTGACATCCTAGGGTCGAGGTAAACCAAGAAGTCCCGGTCGACGGCGGAGCGTTGCGGCATTTGAGTTGGGTTCCCCACGACTCATTGAGCCTACTGGACACGAAAAAATCAAGACATGGATAGCAGAGGGGGTCGTATTGTATGTGTCACAACGTTCGGTAGAGAACCGGCCCAAAGGGTCAAGACCAGACACAATGCGGTAAGAATTTACTATCTGCAGTTCTCCCAGGAGCACTGCCCGAAAACTGCCCGGAGACTGCACGGCGTCCTGGCCTTACAGAAGTGACGCCGCATCGTGTACAAGCGATAACGACAACCTGTAAGTCATGACGCCGAGTCGAGATACGAGGAGCCAACACATGTAATAACCAGAGACAGGATAGACCTCTCACCGATAGTCACTGGAGGAGTCCCGCATGCAGAGTCGAGCACGCTCGAAGAAGGCCAATAGGGACGACCGACGAATTTTGAGAAAAAAGCCTCTGAAGCACCCTGGGCGAAGGGACTTCCTTCCGTGAGACGGCCGAGTTCACCACAAATTGAGCACTGCTGGCGTACCTTCCCACAACGGCGCCGGCGTGGAGAGGCAACCTCAGCGAACTCCACTCTGATCGATACCGTGGCAACACCTGCATGCCTACCCACATACAACAGCACGCAAGAGAGAGCCTAGAAGAGCATGGAACGAGGTGGTTCAGGCGGAGGGCTAGGGGAACTCCTCGAAGACATCGCGTTCAGGGATGGGTCCATCGTTCTCTTGACGTGTCTGGCCGAGGTGCCTGGGAAACCGCAAGGGTCCATTCAGTAACTAGGAGAATGCGTAGACGAGACTCACCTACAACATACCGTCTCCTCTCCCACCGAAGCATGCAATACATCACCGCGCCGTTGCCAGACTCGACTGGAAGCCCGTTTTACGTGTGTAGTCCGGAGAGTGGTCCTCGGCGGAGTCGTCGAGCGGAGCAGATACCCTCCTGTTAACACATACGAAACAGAACAATCATCGGAGAATAGTGCAGAGCACAAGAGTCCGAGTATGCTACAGGGAAGATGGGGAGTAGCGGACGACACTGAGCGGACCCGGAAACACAACGACAGCGCCTACCTTAAGCGGACACAAACTTCTTCGGCAATTGCCATATGAACTTCACCCGGACTGCCATGTTCAGTACCGACAATCCCGTCCTTCAGATGACTGCGCGCGCATCGTCCATATCTTCATCGGTGTGCTCGTATCATGTTCGCATCATGCTCGGGGTCTGAATATGCAAGTCACTGGGCTCGGAATGCTGATCGTTGGGCCACGGAAAAGGCGGTCTGCGACAAAAATGGGGTGTCCTAGACACGGACCACGATCTCAAAGCATGTGCGGCGCGCTCGACCGAGCAATCCGACGTGGGTGATTTCTGATATAATGCTGTTTCCTCAAGTTCCTGCCTATCCCTTCACAGGTTCGGCACCGCTTAACGAGGCGCATGCCCGCCAGCAGGCACGTCACAGCATCTAAACTTGAAAGGGTACTCCGGCTGGGTCTCCCGCTATCTAGTGGCACACCTTGTCCCACAACCCAACACGTATTGCGTTTGGATGCATGCTGGAGGAGTGCTCGATGCGTAGCAATGAAAGAGTTGCTTTGTGCCAGTGAGCCACCGCTCCTGATCATCGTCCAGGAGCGCCGTCTCGGAAGTGCCTCTCATCAAGCGTGTTTGCCACGAGGCGTCTCCACGAAGGGTCGCACTTCTTCTTTTGTTCAGTGTCACTCGTAATCGTCACTGTTCCAGTACAGTGGGGTAGATCCGGTTATTCTGCCTCGTTGCGCATTACTTGAAGACATATAATCGACAGGCGAAAAGTCGAGACTCCTTCGCCTAGCCGAGTCTGACCGCCTATTTTCCACTCGAATTGCCCCAGTTTTTGCTCTTGCCACCATCGTGTCTACTAACAGTGTCTGTACCTATACCCCGCTCGCACTATGCCTGCACCCACGTCGGACGTGAACAAGCACCTCGAGACGCTAGGTCTCGGGCCCGACGATCTCAATGAGGACGCCATTAGGGTGGCCTACAAGAAACTGGTGAGCTGTTTTGGCCATGAACGCCGAAGTGCTACTCTAATGCACTCATTCTCTGTCAGGCTCTCAGATGGCATCCAGATCGCCACAACGCTGATCCAGAGGAGTCGAAGGAGAAGTTCATCGAGGTGCGTCATCATAGGTTGACGAAGTAGAGCTATCTGGCTCGAGCACGATCCGCCATCCAGGTCAACGAAGCCTACAAAGCTCTTGTACACGAATGCAAAAAGCGCAACAAACATCACTGGCTCCATAAAGATGGAGACGGTTCCTCTACTCTACGCTCATTCTGGCCCAGTTCGACGCCTAGCGCAGCATCGTCCTCGAGTTCGACACCAAGCGCGTCTTCTTCTGGAGCTTCGTGCGCAACGGATAACACCGCGAAGCAGACGGAGATACCTATCGCCAAGCCGACAGATCCCTCCCCCGCGAAACCCACACGCTCTACGAAATCGACCGATTCTCCACCCGCGAAGCGTACAGACGTTTCATCTTCCGGCGAGAAGGCCTCATCTCGTCACGCAGCACAGTCTAAGGACGCGCGCGACACGCGTTCTGGCAATGCGCGTCGGTCTGGTGACCGCGACTTGTCACATCAGTCTTCTAGGTCAGACCGTTCCCACCCCAGAGCATCTCACACGACTTCTGCTGCGCCAAAGTCGCCACGGCCTTTCAAGCCATCTAATCTTCACCCCGATGGTGATTCCGACACATCATCTGAGGCTGAGTGCATATTCCAGATTAAGTCAAACTGCGCGATCGTACTCACATTAGCCTTCTTTCCGCCCTATAGCTCTCTTCACGAGCACAAGCACCGGCACCGTCACCATGGAAAGACGAAGAAGCACTCGCTCGAAGACGAATACGAGTTCATCGACCTCGGTACTCCTCTCAAGCCTCTCCGTTCTCCGAAGCCCCTCTCCACCTCCAAAGACATAGATTGGATCTTCCCCCTCCCTCTCACGCTCGAAGACTTGTGTTTCGGCGCGAAGCACCGTTACCGCGTCACACGGACGCTCCGCGCAGACAAATCGTCACACTCGCATTCTTCCTCGAAGACACAAACTGTGCAGATTGACGTGCACGTCTCGCCCGGATGGCGGAACGGCACGCGTATTCGTGTTCCAGGGGTAGGCAACCAACGCTCAGACGGCTCGTACCAGGACATCGTATTCGTCGTCGAGGAGATTGCGCATCCGCGTTTCACGCGGTCAGGAGATGACATCGTTCTTCCCGTGCGCGTACCCTGGGCAGACGCGCACAGCCGTCGACCATATCCCTCGGACATGTGCGACGACGATGACAGCATCCTCGATAGCGAAGGAGGTAGCGGCGGAGGGCGATACAGGTTCGACTTCGGACGCTGGCGACACCACGGGCCAGAGCACGAGCGTGAGGAGCCTGAAGACGACGAAGTGTACGTGATGGGTCTGGACGGCGAAGAATACACCCTCCCCATCCCGCGGACTCTGGTCGAAGCTGCGGATGGATCACGGATCTTCGGTGCGGGTATGCCTATTCGCAAGAACGGCAGGGTGGTGGGGAAGGGTGACCTGGTCATACGGTGAGTCTCTCGTGTCCTCTAGTCCACACTTTCCCCGCACGCTTGATTGCGTCTTCGCCCTTGTTCGGAGCGTTTGACTTTCGCTTCGTCGTTTTGCCACCTCGTGCTGTTTCCCCGTGGGGTGTGCGGTAGACTGACTGACGTCCCCGCGCTGCAGGTGGGAGTTCGTCTTCCCGGAGTCCGAGAAGCTGCAGCGGTCACGCTGGCAGACCCTGAAGGACGCAATGCACCTCCGCTTCCAAGTATAACGTCAAGTACCCCAGCCTGACCTGCATCGTGGCTCGGCTACCACGCCGCCTCCTTGGATCGATTCCCTCCGCCTCCTCATGACTGTTTCGCGCGGTATTCGGTGCCCTCAATGCGACAACCCCAACATACTACAGTCATGCCTTCCACGGCCGCTGTTGTGCGCGACGACCCCCGGATACTGCAAACATGTAACATAAGCGTATGTACGTCTGACCGGATCCTGATTGGGTGGTTCGCGGAAACGTGCCCCTCCCACCCACAAGCCGCCCTTTCCTTCTACTTACGTTCTACCTTTCCCCCATCATATCTTCCTGGTTCTTCTCCTTCCATATGTATTGGGACCATCTTCGTTTGCACTCTCTCCTCAACGGACCTTGTAGGTAGCCTCCTCATCCACTGTACATTCATTCATGCATCGCCATCGTCTCCATCGCTTCCGGTCATTCATGCCCACCACCCTCCCCTCCATGTACTATATGCGATCCCTACCATTTCCGACCGCGTCCCCATGCTCCCGAACGACACTCGGGTTCTCCTTCCCATCCTCACCTTGCGTATCCCCCCCCTCCTCCTCCTCCTGGCTCTCTTGGTCTCTGACCCCAAAAGGCCAGTTCAGGCTCTATCTGCCTGACCTGGCAGAGGGGCATAGGCATGTACTCTACTTTCATCTCTCCGGACGAACCCTTGCTCTTGGACCTCTCTTTCTTCCCGGATGGAATACATATGACTCTTCACGCGTCACTTTTGTTCCCCTCGCGTTGTCATGTGCTGCGTTCGGGTGAAGAGCAATAACGACGATTGCCCACAAGTCATTTCTGAGCTTGATCAGTTGAGCAGGCCAGCCGAATTTAGTTCATGCGGGCAGAAGGAGTGGTGTGAGTCTGGCTACTGATTAGACTAAGTACACGAGGGCACAAACATTGTCAAGCCAAAAAAATCACCACTGAATGTCGCGTTCACCTCTCTGTCGGGGAGTCGAACCCCGCTTTCGCGCGTCCACCAACTGAAGGCCTAATGGCGTAGCAGTGACAGGCGCGTGTACTAACCGATATACTAACAGAGATATGATCTTGCATAACAATAATAATCATCACGGCCATGCAGCGTAGTGTAAATGACACACTGGTAAGTACAAGCCGCTCAGTGCATTAGACCCAAGTCGGTGACTGGATCTACTAGCAAGGTCTAGCCCTCCTCCTCCAGTGGGCAGAAACAGAAACTTGCCAACAGCTGAGTCAGATGTGAACCCGGGACAGACTAGTTCCTCAGACCGGACAGCTGCTCAGCGCTCAGCAGCTCACCTGTACCTGCAAGCCCGACTGCTTCCTCGTCAGCTCACTCGTGCCCAACAACCAATGATGTGAAGGTATCACCAGTACTACATAGTGATTCTCGGGAGTTGGGCCCATCGGAACGCCGCCAAAGCGGAACATGCAAACCACAACCAAGATATCTTCCCAGCGCTGGAAGTCCAGGACCACAACGACCACAATGCGGTCCCGCCGAAGGTAAGTGCTCTATGGCACGAACTCGCGAAGTGCTGCATCGCCTCGGACGCACGATCGTGATGAGCGGCCTAAGACCGAGAATCGACCAAATACCCACATTCCGCATTCCACATCCCCTACCGATAATACTACCGAACGCCTTGCAATCGATCTTGGAAGTTCATCCGGGGCGCACCTGACGCCTAGGGCAGCTCAAGCTTCACCGATCAGTAATAGTCCACAGAAGCCATCCACAGAAAGTTTGAAGAGGGCCGGCACTGGGAATGCCGAACGAGCATGTCCTAGGATTCAGGAATTCGAATGCGCGTCGCCGCCTTCAGGCTTCCAGTCTCTGGAGTCTGATGGACTGAGCTGGAGGATGCACAGACACGTTCGGGGTTAGTCGCAGCTACCGTAAGGCGAGGGACACGACGTGCCTGAGGAGCATAACTATCGGATATCCCCCGAGGCGACATCTTAGTGTACGTACGTACTCGTACACGCCCATATACCGAGCGGACCAGGCACGCCAACTTACCGCTGTCAGTGCCATGTCTAGGCACATTGTCGGCGAAAGGACGACGGTACCGACGCAGGGGCACTTCGACTGTCTGTCCCTGCCAATGCCATCTTGTCGCCGCCCGTCAGTGGTCACTTCGGCTGGGTCTGCCTAAGTGCACGGAGGTAGTATCCTTCTGCCTACGTCATGGTCTCGTCCTGCAGGCACACGATCTCTTTGCTGCTGCTCACAAGAGCCTGACAAACAGCACTTCGGTCAGAAAGCGGCGGACAGATCACAGCGAGTAAGGTCATGCTCACGAGTCACCGTGCCCCTTGCGACAGAACCTCCGCTCTCAGACGGCCACAGTGCGACGGTAGGAAGTGGCAGGGGGGCCTGCAGTGAGCCTTGCCGTAGGTGATGCGGGCCGCGGATTATGGCGACATTGCGTTGTGCAAGCGTTGTTGGGCTTGCTGACATACTCGTCATGAGGCATGCAATACGTCGGGCTTTGAGAGCGTCCGTCCGAGTCGGAGCCAAGTATCGTGCTCCGTGGGCGGCGAGCGCAAACCTTGCCAATGGGTTCTGTGATTTGTATTCGGAGCTGGAAGGAGATGCAATGGTCGGCGAGACACGGGCAGGTCCAACAAGAGGCTACCCTGAAGTCGATGTCCGTGAGCGGGGAGCGTAGAGCGATGATGGTCCTTGGTAGTTGTAGAGGAGAGGTCGTCGTTCCACCCCAACATGAACGGTAATGGAATGCATTCGACAGGTAACCGGGCACGCAAGTACACCGAGAGGACCTGAGAAATACGCCAAGGAACAAGGCCGACCCAGGGGGAGTGAAGCGTCCAGCCGCCGCGCCCAAGCAGATGGAGAACACGCGTCGTGAGACATGCGTCAGCGCCGAGGAAGCCACAGTGCTACGGCGCAGCAGCAATGTTGCACTCGCGAACTCCGTCGGGAAGGAGGACCTGCACCGCGCGTGCGAGGTAGTCGCGCCTGGTGTCATTGTGGCGCGCGCTCGAGATGATGGGCGGCAACGATCCAAGGGTGGCGCTGGGCGGCGCTCGCACTCGGTGACCGAGTCGCCGTGGAAGGTGGCGAGTCGTGACAGATGAGAATGGACTGAGGGTGGGCACGCGTGTTGGGCAGTGAGATGAGTCTTTGGGGTGACAGATGTGCACGCAACATCGGTCCGAGTTGTCGCATCTGGGGCGTGAAGACTTGAGGAAGAACAAGGGCAGGAGGCCCGGGATTACAAGGACTTGAATGGATAGAATCCCGTGAGCGGTGGGTGGGCGCGACAGAAGCTTGGATAGAGTTCCGCGAAAGAACAGCCCTAGCATGCATTGTCTCTCAGCGCGCAGAAGCACAAGGCATGGGACACGAAACGCACCTGAGCGTAGATCGTTGAATACCTGACATCCGAATCCGCCACAGTCGAGCGTCGCAGGGAGAGCATATGGTGCAGCTGGAGGCAGCGCAGCGGTTTCACATTGAGCAGGCGGGATGCTGGAATGGGCGCAGAGAGGACGCTGGGAGTCGCAGAAGGATGGTAAGAAGATGTTGTACGGAATTAGGCAGATGGGCGGGCAGCGCGCAAGAAACCAGGGCGGCGAGGCTAAGCAGATCATGCCCGTCTGAGCGCGGTCCTCGTTCTCATAAGTATCGGACACTCACGATAGTGCGGAGAGTTTACTCCGCTGCACCCACATGTTCCCCCCACTCTTGCGCGCAGACAGTCTCCAGCAGGCGGGAAGAAGACGGCGTCGGAGGGTGGAGAGGAGACGGAGAAGGACACGGTGCGGAGGCAATGTCGACCTCATTGACCTCGCCCCGGCTAAGACAAGTCAATCACCGATTGCCGCTCTGGCGCCCGCCTGCCATTGGCCCCCTCATATGCCGGCCAGTCGGTAAATAGCGCCTCTCTATACTCGCCTCCTTCCATCTCCCCCCATCTCCCCCCGCGCTCTCCCTCGACGCTCTCACTTGCTTATACTCCTGCACTTGTCGTCTCAAAATGCGCGAGAATATTGCCAAAACCCCATGCAACCACTTTCAAGGCCACCCTAGTCGCGAAGACCACTCTACAAACCACCGCTAGCCGCTATGATGAACATACTCGTTAAACTGCGGCACAGACCCCATGCTGATCCCCACATACCGTCCAACCGACCAACTCGCCATTTCACCTCTCTCGCCCGCAGTGCTCCCCGCGCATGCCCAAAGCTCTCTCGCCGCTGTCCGCGCTGCAGAGACTGTCCTCCTCCCCGGGTCTCCACGCCTCTGCTGCGACGCCGCCCAAGCAGAGCGAGTGAGCGCATCAGTCTACCGCGTCTCCTCGCCTAGAGCTTATCATTGATCCGCGCCCACGGCAGGACGCCCATTCTGCACTCCGCCCAAGTTCCAACGGTCCCGGCGGACGCCTTGGTTTCACGATGCAGTTCTCGCGCTTCCTCTTGGTCTCAACGCCCACAGACCCATGCATATAAGCCATCACGGAACGTGCTGCAAGCTTTCCTTCCCTCCCAGCTTTAGCTCTCTCTTACTCGCCCACACTTCGACCGCCACCGCAGTCCTTCGCCCCAGGCCTGGGCAGCCCTCCGTTACGTCGCTCCACAGCCGATCGCCATTCCGATATTCAAAGTCGTGATCAAAGTCAGCCTCCTCCGCCGCCGCCGCCGATCATCGGCAAGCGCACCTGCCTCCGAGTCTGTGCCTCTTGAGTCTCGCTTGATTCTGACCTGCTTGCCCTCCATGCTCTCCATGCGCCCTCCACCTCACAACCGCCATCTCTTCAGACCCTCTTGATACCCCGACCTGCTTGTTCTGCGAATGTCGTCATCTCTGCGCTAGACATCCTTCTCGAAAGCGCTACCGTTGGTTGGGGCTCCATGGCCTGAGGCGCAAAACTTGCCCTTCACCAGCTGCTAAGTATACGGTCCACGACGATGACCGCGTTATGGCGGATACCTATCCGTCTTCTCTCCCGGCGCTGCATCACACAAGTCTAGAAACGATACGATACAAAAGGCACGTCGATTCCTAATATATGCTATATGGACATATGAAGACAGCAGAGTTAAACAGAGCATTACATAGATCACGACCATATACGACTTCCGCGCGGGGCTCCCGTAAGCCGGAGCCTCTACCTGCTGGGGGTATAGGACGGGCACAGAGCATGAGAAGAGGAACGAAAGAGACCGAGACCGGGACGGATTAGGGTGGGGCTGGGATATCGATATAGGTATGTTGCTTCCGTCGGAAACCTCGTGAATGACATGTAACAGCGTCGTGGCGACCATACCGCGCGTGGGGGTGGGGAGTCCAGGGAGTAGGAGTGCAGGAAAGCGAAGAGGTAGAGGGATAGCTAGGACGGGGACAGACGAGGGCGTGGCGGTAGGGTGATGAGGGATAGCGGAGGCGGCGGGCTCATACGAGGAGGAGGCTCGCCCACTGCATGCGGAGGCCGGCACGCCAGTCAGCGAAGACGGGGTGCTCCCCAGGGCGAGTCATGCGCATCACGTTCACGCGCGAGGTCCAGATGTCCTCCATGATCGTCTGCGCGAGGAGGATGTTGCCCATCGTCGCGTCCTGCATGAAGAACCGGTGCTTGACGACCTCGCGGATCATCTGGTTGTCGGTCATGCACCCCGCGAGGAAGAGCGGGTAGACGAGCGTGCGGTCGTACGGCGACGGGGTCAGCTCGTTGAGCAGCTTGAGCATCTGGTCCACGCTGTTCGTGATCTCGGGCACACCTGTGGGGAGGGGACGAAGTCACGTCAGAAGGAGGGGCGTTAACGGACCGAGGTGAGTGTCCCGCACCTGGTACAGACTCGCTGAGGACGGTGTGCAGATACAGCACGGCAGCCTCGCGGAACATCTCGCCAATGATGTGCTTGTTGTTGTCTACGGGCGACATGGCCGACCTCGACCCCGCCGACATCCCTGGCTGCGGCGACGACATGGGCACCGCAAGCCCCGCAGGCGTCATATCCAGCCCGCCCCCGAGGGACGACGACGCCGCCGCCCCTTGCGCCGCGTGCCCGCCAAAGTCATCACCGTCGATGC